TTTGGCTACAGCCTTGGAATGGTAATTCCTTTGCTCTCAGTCTTGCTATACCTCTAACTTGCTTGGTCAGCAGCAATAAAAGTGATGCTCTCTTCTTGAACTAAGCATCAACACAATGAAAGAAGGCTTCACAATAAGAATCATTGTAGAAATAAACTGCAGAAAACAACTGCAGCAGAACAGATAATCCAGCATTAACATAACCATTTTCTTTTTTCCTGAAACTAATACAACATGTAGGGAAACTCGGGTTCCTGTTTAAGAAGTATGCAAGTTCACACCCCAACAGTCAGTTAAAATGTTAAGGTTAAGTGACTGAGCATTACTCTAGAACAGCTAGGTTAGCTCTACTCTGGAGAGAAAGCTCTTCTGATCTCCATCTGGTGTTCTCAGATTAAAAAAGGTAATAAATAGTATTAAACAGTACATACATAATGTTTTATTCATTTTTACAGTTAAAACATTATGTTATCGTGGGGCCTTTAAAAGGTTACTGTGTGTGACATGAGTAAAATGGCTAAAACCACTTGCAGTCTGCAGTTTCTCCAGCAATTAAAGAGTGCTATTAGCACGCAAGTCGCCATGATACTAAAGAAATCTACTACCAGAAGAGGCTCATGAATGTGTTTGTAGTAATGTCTATCACAATATCAGGTAAAAAAGCTCATTAGTTCTGAATATAAGATTCTTGGAAGTAATAAAAGGCAGTATGTACTCTGCCGAAGCAGTGAGAGACCACCATGCCTACAACCATCAGTCAAGCATGATGGAGGATCAGTGCAAGCTTAGGGAGGTATAAAAATAACTGGAGTTTGTGATTTGTGTTTGACTGACGGCATCATGAGTGCTAAATAGTAAAAAAAAAAAACCCTCTGGAAAATACATGTTGGGAACAAATGCATTCTACAGAAAGACAACGACCTAAAGATTACTGCTGAGAAGTTTCAGACATACCCATCAAACAAAGAAGCTGCTGACAACAACAAAACAAGAGCCCAGACCTCAACACAAGTTATTTGTGTTTCATATTACGTGGATCATGAGAAGCAGAAAATGCAACCAACTTTTAAGACTCTTGGACAAAAAAATTTAACTTTTCGCACTCAAAATTGAACTTAAAGTCCAGAGCACTTAAAGTTTAAAGTACTTAAAACTTTAAATTTTAAAGACTTGTTTTAGGCAATAGTTTAAAATGAAACAAACTGTCTCTACAGAATACGAAGTTATTTCACCAAATTTACAGTACATACAACAATAAAAATGTGTATGACTCATACACATGGCTCATTATGGTCAAATGATTTATGTTATAAAACAATATAAACCTAAGTTGTTTGAGGCAATTGAGGCATTTGTTTAAGCCATATGTTTACGTATCAGGTTTTACAGTATACCATGCAAAACCTCCAAAATTCAGCTGCTTATCAGAGCACTGTCTGAAATGACCTTAAAAATAAAAAGGTGTAAAAAGATGGTGGTTAGGACAAATAAAAACAAAGAGCAGTGCTCAAAATAAAAAAAGATAAGTGACAAGCTTGAAATAGCAAAAACAGCAAAACACTTTTAAAAACACTAAAACAAGTAAAAACTGCATTAAATACAGGTGGATTCATTAGGTGGATTAACAGTGGATTCCTATTATTACCAGTCTTATAAGTAGCATGTGAATAATTGGCAAGCGGCAATTAGAGGGTCCAGGCATGTATCAGCTCAATAAGGCCTTATGCAGTGTGGGCCAGTGATGTAACAGGGTCTAATGCAGTTTGAACCTTATTTACTGAGAGAGGAAAAAATAAAAGCTTTGTTTGCAATAAATTTTGCACAGAGGTCTTTAAACATGATATTTGCTAATGTTCATGTGTACAGATGTTTTGAGTTTTGTATAACGCGCAAAACATGTTTAACAAAGAGGTCAAAAATGTATGAAAAATGGTAAAATTTCTGACAAAGTTGTATTTGCCATGTTGTTTAGTTTTACCATTTGATATGCATGCCATAATGAGGCCCAATGCACCCATAAGGGGCCCTTTTAACACAGAGCAAAGGGAGTCAGAATGTCAAAAGGTCTCCATAAGTTACATCAACAAAAGTTATTCAAGTTTGTTCAAACTGACCTTTTGGCCTTAGTATAATAAGCAGTATATGTTAAACATGTTCAGTCAAAATAACCCGACAAGGAGTTCAATTTCTGAAATAACTTCTAATTGCAAAGTTCTTAAGGTCAGAGAACTCAATTACATGGCCCTCATTATTTACCTATAGATGACATATCTGTAACAGGATTTGTAAAGACTAAGTGTTTTTGAGCATTTTACCATACCTTAAGGGCTAATCTGGACAAAAAATTTGCAAACCTCATCACATGAAATTTCAGAATTTCCAAAATTTCAACTTGATCTGAAGCAGTTACTTAGCAGTGATAGGGCTCCCTAATAATGTACATTTGCCAAAATGAATAAGCTACCTTCATCTATCATACACAACCATAAAGTTTCACATTTTTTGGATAAAGCATTCTTGAGTTACAAAAATTTTAGTTCACAAACGGATATAATGCAAAGCTCTTTTGTTTCTGATTAATGATAATGCTCATTTTACGATGTTTTGAATTAGACTTGTGAGATGGGGCAAATTACTAATTACTATTATTGAACTGTTCTGCAACTTGGCTGCTAATTACTTTAAAACATTGGTCAAATTTCTCCATATTTGGTTTGTGCATAGTCTGACAGACTTTAAACAATTATTGCTTTTATGGTCTACTTACTGGTAAAAGCAACTCATATTTGGTATGTTAATAGAATGGTAGACTTTAAACCAAAATGTGCAGGTTTTTTGTCTACTTACTGGTAATAGTCATTTAACAATGTGCTGAATTTGACTCATTTCAGTTATATGGGATTACTAATTTACTGAACTTATTTGGTAACTTCTGCAGTAAAAGGAATTCATATTTGGTTTGGTCATAGTATGGTCAACTTTAAACCAAAATGTGCAGGCTTTTGGTGCACTTACTGGTATTAGTTATTTCATAATGTGTTGAAATTGACTTAATCCATTAGATAGGATGCAAATTACAAATTGATTTGGTTGCTGCAAATTGCTTTATCAAGCTTCATTAAAATGACTTCATCTTTGGTTTGTGTATAGTATGACAGACATTGAAACAATATCTGTTGTTTTTTGGACTACAACTGAAAATGACTTTTAAATTGTGATGAATTTGCAAATAGTTTAAACAAAGGCAAGAGATATGTTCATTTTACATAATACATGATTCCATATTGTAGAACCCTCTGGAGCTGTATTTAGACCATAACCGGCTTACTTCTTAACTGTATTATACTGTACGTCAGTATTAAATTTACTATGATTTAGAAAAAACTGCACAGAGATGAGCTGATTGATCGTAAATCGTAGGACTAGTCCACCTACGTGTGCGAAATCTGGAACAGCACACAGTAGCAGCATGCCAACTTTAATGTCAATCGGACAACCTTGAGTTGTGCAACACTTTTTTTGCATTTTTTCAAACCTTGTGATGCAGATGCACCAAAATGTAAAGACTAAGGTACATGTGTGTAAAGTTTTTTTTAACAATGAGTTACAATTAGAATTCATTTGACACCAGATTGTGGCAGGTGGAAAACCACTGACTAGCTCACAGGGAAAAATGTGTGAAATTATGCATAAAGGACAACTGATGTCACAATCTAAAGCACTATTCAGACACAATTAGGTTTCCATAGGGAGGTAAGGTAATGGAATTTTTACCGCTGTTTCTCTGTGATTTTAGCTCTGCTCAAATTTGCCATGCAATTTATTTTTACACATCAGTAAGGATTCCAGCACCTTTTACCTACCATAAAACAAGCCACATGAAAAAACTCCAAGTTATATTAATCTTATGTGAATTGACGTGTCAGTAAAAATGCTATCATATTGTGAGAAAAGGGAGTTTCTTAAGTATGGAGGCGCTCGAAGATGTGTTTACTTGTACTCTCCAGCTAAAATCAAGCCAATATATACTGTCAATACATACTGTCTTACCTCAAGTGTACGACTCAAATCAAATCAAATAACATTTGATTTTGTTCAGTGATGTTGAACGTTTGCTGTGAATTCCCAAGCTAATGACAATGATGCAGTGCCTTAACTTAAGATAATAAGAAATATGGTTAAGGTAAATGGAACAGCATCTAAATTAAATGTTTTGACAAGTTTTTAAGTAGGCATAAGCAGCCACTCCCATCTCTATAATTTATGAGGAGATTTCTCAGCCTGTGCGAATAGGTCATGAACATCACAGATGTCCTGTGGTAAAATGACATTACCCCACCTCCCCATGTAAAACTGATTCTGTCCAATCAGCACTCAAGTGGGCAGAACTAATTGGCTTTTGAGGCTTTTTTGTGGGCCATGTGACAAGTAATCCGTGGAAAAAAAAAATTGTCTGTATGATACATGCAGAAAATACTGACCTGAAGGTTCGATGCTTTGCTACATCTTGAGGCTGATCGACTTGACTTGTGGGCCTGAGTAGCAGGACAGACTCCTATCTATTGACAAAGTTTAATGTCTATACGACTTATGGTTTGGTCTGTACAATTCGGTCTGCACGATTTGTTTTTTGGGAGAAAAAAAACAAGAAAAATCCTAACAATTACAATAAGGTCCCAACATTTTGTTCTTTGACCCTGGAAAAAGGTCTGAGCTGTACAAACATATGCTTTATACTTAACTGATTGTTTCTCATTGAGATTAAATTCACTTTAACACTGACAATTACTGACAGTTATCAGTATGCATATACTCTCCTCCAGTTCCACTGCTGACTAAGATTTTAATGTCGCTAAGCATTTAGACCATGTACATAATGTACAGCAAGTTCATAAAATATAGTAATGTAGGGTAAAAAAAAAGTTATTAAAAAGGTTGTCATTAACTCCTTACAAACATGAAAATGTTACTATAGATGTTAGAAAAGGTGTATAACTCACCTGCACGTGCAGCAATCAGGTGTGTTGTGCAGTCAGGATCTTTGGCGCTAAGCACAAGGCTCTTGCCTATCTTGGCACCCAATGCCTTGGCATGGTAGCACTCTCGTGTTCGCTCCATGGGATAGTTAGTGTGGCATAAGCCACTAAACACAACAGTGGTGCCTGCCAAGGATCTGCTCTTCAGCTCAGGGACAATTGTACGAATGTCTGGCATCTGGAGACTCTCCTCCCTGAGGTAGGCCTCATAGCGCAAGTAATATTCTTTATGAATGCGAACTAAGACCTCTTCTAGGTAAATCAAATAATCGTCTGTGTCTTCTTCCTCCTCCTCCTCCTCCTCTTCATCCCCCATGCTGTGGTCTAGAGATTCCTCACCCATTGTGATGCCAGATTGCTCACTGTTTTGAGACTCTGTCTCTGTTTCTTTTTTGTCAGCACAGCCATTATCAAGCTCACTAAGAACCCCCTGATTCTCCTCTAGAGCTTCTACATGTCCACCTCCATTTCCCTCTCTAACCCAGTTGTCTTCCTTTAGTTTTGTTTGTTTGTATGTTCCAGTTTCTGAAAATTGTTCTTCATTTTTGCTGTGTGGCAGCCCTGGTTTACCCGAGTCAGTTTCGCTGTCACTTAAAAGGTCAAAGTCCAAGTCATTATGTATATTATCAGCAGTAGTCACATTCTCTCTAAGCACTATTTCACCTGAGTTACTCACTCTACTTGAGACACCTGCTTCTCCCCTCTTAACACTATATTTGTCACTCAAATGTTCTGTTCCATCTCCTTTCCCCTCAGGATGACTTTTCTCTCTGGTTGTTGGCCCCCGAATGTCGCAGCTATAGGCTGACATATCTTCATGCACAGCTTTGCAATCTCTGTCATGTTTCCTGAATCCATTACTCTGCTCCCCATGTTCTGATGTTGCAGACAGGTCTGAGCTTCCTACAGGCTGACTAGCCTGGGTACCTACAAGACAACACAAGATAGTTAAGGTATAGACAATTAAAGAAGGAAAAAAGGTGAACAGGCTTATCTCCAAGGAATAATACCTGACACAGAACTTTGAAACAAATAATACCTGTTTTTGTACAAGTATATATTTTGCAGGTAGCTTCTACAATGTAATCTATTTCATTCTTTGGTAATGAAATAAGGCATGTTCTGAGAGAACCTATGAACAAGCTTCAGTGTCTCCTCTTCAAACCTCAATAAGAAAAATTATTTTTACTGTCCTGAATCAACCATAAATCTTTTCAAATATTGAAATTACCACCATATGTGGCACATTTCAGTAAAATGTTTTTTGTCTGTTTAACATTAGCAAGTGAACAGACAGACAGAACACTTTACTAACATTACTCTGGCTGTTTCTTTGATCAGAAGCATTATAGGTAGTAGGAGTGTAACAATACACAAATTCACAAATTTCACGATAAAGATAAAATGTGTCCCGTGGTTTTTGTACCACCATTTTTGTTTGTTCAGAGTCCAGACCAGAATAAGACTACGGCACCTACTGACAGCATTATTAATACAAACATGTCCATTTTTGAAAAGAATATTAACTTGCCATAAACTGAAAGAGGTTAGAAAATAGTTGACATGAAATTAAGAATGTAAGCCCTGTGAATTCAATAAGTTTGACATCTGTACTACCAGCAACAAATTTAGGACTGAATATCAGTGAGCATTTGTTACCAGTATCTTTCTTTGCCAGCTGGCTGTCTCGTGACCCCGGTGGTGCATTGATGTCACCCGTTCCTTTGAAGTACACATACTTTCTCACAGTGATGAGGTTGGGGGCAAACTTCCACACATCCTCTCTGTCGTCAATGATGCACACCATAGAGTCACCACATGGGAACAAATTTCTACAAGGGTAAAATTCAGCTTTACTGGCTTGTACATGGACATGACAGCATCTCCAGGATGTTACTGTATTCTGTCAATGGTTTCAATCACAGCTATATCATCTGAAGGGAAATCTGTCTGTTTGCTGTTCTTAAAAACACTTCTATTAATATCTAGGCACAAGATATTTTTGGTGCATTTTTGACATCCCATCTCTCTCGCTGTTTCACAGTAAGAACTGACTATCAGGTCATTCCACGGCAACTCACCTAGGATGTGTCTAGCCATGTCATTGATTTCATGAAAAAAAATTCACGCAAAAAACAGTAAAAATACAGTATGAGATTGAGCTAATCAACCATAAACACATTTTTCATTACCTTTTTCCTCACATTTTTCATTACCTTTGTTATTAAGGTGCCATTAATGATGAAGCTGACTATATTTGATCGCGTGATTATATGCTTTGTACTATTAAGTGTATGCTTTTTCAATTACAACAAATTTCAAAATCTCTGTGCAGTGATGTAATATTAGCAGGCTATGATCAACTCAAAATATGCCACACCAGAACTAGCAGCCAAAACCTTTAAAAGCAAAAGTTCAATACAAAAGAGGTACCGAAAGTATCAAAGGAAAATCGTGAAATATATTTAAAGCATATCAAGCACAGCAATAATATCACTCACTTAAGATTTCCAGCCTTGGAGTATGGGTCAATGCACTCATCTCTGGACAGGATTCTATGAGAGAAAAGCTTCTTTTCAGGATCCAGGAAGCCTTTGCAAGAATACAGAAAGGGCAAAAATGGGAAAAAAAGACAAGACAACAAGAAAAACGTTTTAAGACAGACTCTTAAAAAAGACAGACAGAGTAAATGAGTAAACACCTTCCAATGCTGCAACATGATTACTTTACACACTAGAGCTTGCACTCTTTGCATTTAGTTTTCTCTTTTGATGAGAATAGGTGAAAAAGCTGGACGAATTAAAGACCTGTAACCTCACTCAGAAAAGGCTTATGGACTGCAGTTTCATGTTTTTTTCAGAAACCTGGCTAAATAGTGATGTTTCTAACAGCGTAGTGGAACTAGAGGAGCACACTTTCTTCAGAGCTGATAAGTCAACTACAGCTTCGGCTAAGAGCCACGGTGGTGGTGTTCGCATTTATGTAAACAAAGCATGGTGCACAGACTCAGTCAATACTCTGCTGATTTAGAGTTCCTAATTATTAAGTGCAGACCCTTCTATCTTCCACATGAGTTTACCTGCATCGTGGCTGCTGCATTTTTTATGCCCCCCCCAGACGCTAATGCTAATGTGGCTATGAAAGATCTCTGTGCTGCTATTAGCAAACTGTGCACCCGGACGGAGCCTTTATTGTCGCTGGGGACTTTAATCACTGCAGTTTGAAATCTGTACTTCCAAAGTTTCACCAGAATGTCTCTGCAACACAAGGGGACAAAGAACTTTAGATCATGTTCACACCAGTGTGCCTAATGCCTACAAAGCAACATTCCTCCTCCACCTGGGACAGTCCGACCACCTCTCTTGTTCCTGCTCCCCAAGTACAACCCAGTCATCAAACATGTGAAACCCACAACAAGATCTGTAAAGATCTGGATGGAAGGGGCTGTCTCCTCTCTTCAGCACCAGTTCCAGCACATAGACTGGAGTGTGTTTGCAGCCCAGGCCACCACAGACCCTCATAACACTGACATTTACACCAGCTCTGTCCTGGGACATATCAACAGCTGTGTGGACAGAGTGACAACTCCCAAAATAATTAAAATCTTCCCTAATCAGAAGCCCTGGATGTACAGAAAGGTTCGCCGACTGCTCAAGGCAAGAGATGCTGCCGTCAGGTCTGGAGACCAAGATGCTTACAGCTTAGCTAGAGCCAACCTCAGAAGAGGCACCTGAAAGGCCAAACACTGTTACAAACAGTGGACTGAAGAGCACTTCAACCCATCTGACCTCTGGCATTTGTGGCAAGGTATACAGTCAATTACTGACTTGAAACCACCCTGCACTGTGCCCCCTACCAACTGCGCCTCACTCCCAGATGAGCTCAACCACTTCTATGCTCGCTTCGACAGGGGAAATAAGGTGGTCTTCTCCAAAGCAGATTTACCACCTAATGAGAAGTCACTCACACTCTCTACCACAGGTGTCTGTCACACTCTGAGCAAAGTGAATGCACGAAAGGCAGCTGGCCCTGATGGAGTACCTGGCCGTGTCCTTAGAGCATGTGCTAAACAGCTAGCCAGGGTCTTCACGGACATTTTCAATCGGTCACTGGTCCAGGCAGTTGTCCCAACCAGCTTCAAGACTGCCAGTGCCAAAGCATTTGACTACCTCAGCCCTCATTGACTTCCGCCCTGTTGCACTCACCTCCATCATCTCCAAGTGCTATGAAAGACTAGTTCCTTCTCATTCGAAGTCTTGTCTGCCTGCTACATTGGACCCACATCAAGCTGCCTACCACCACAACAAGTCAACGGAGGACGCCATTTCTACGGCGTAAAACTGAACTGAATCTACATATCCCCAAGAGGTTCAGCCTTCTGGCTTCAAGGGGTAGATTTGATTTGCTCAGTTTGAAACTCAGTGACAGCTAGGAGAATTTTTATTGCCTCCACTGACTTATTGTGGTGCTAGGTTTTTGCCTGTCTCATTGCGCACTTCTAACTAAACTTTCCAGTACACATGCATGCGGCAAGCAGGCTATGTAGCCTACATGTGGGCCTATTGACAGCGCTGCTGTAAGGCTGTTCACTTTCCTTTACCCCAAGATGGACAAAAGATGGAACTGAACGTGTTACTTTTGCTTGTACTGACAGTACTGCCCATTCTTATGAACCAATTACAAGCATCATGGTTGCTGGTTGTCTCAAGGATACGAAATCACGAGCCTCCTTAAACTAAATTTGCGCTTTTTTACTTGATAGTGTTTGTAAACGTAGCGCGTGCTTTATACGCCGTCAAAACCCTGATGAATTCTGATCCTCTGGGCTTGCCATACAGTTACGTTTCAAGATGAAAAATGCTGAAAGAAAATACATAAAAAAGCAATGAACACAGAACCATAATAATAAATAGTTACCCATAAAAAATAATAATCAAAAGTTTCTACCTGTCGCCACTGGTGAGTTAATTTTATTATGTGCAAATTAATAATTTGCGACTAAAATGGTTGCAAATTATTAATTTGCACGTAACAAAATAAAATAAAAAAGTCTGGAGCCCTGCCTCCAAGAAATTACCAATTACAAGGGGAAATGAGAACCTCTTTTCCTGAACGCACACCAGCTCACCAACCACCTGAATGAGTGCTACTTTAGATTTGAATGTGCAAAGGACAATCCCTTGTCCTCCTTCCCCACCCTGGCTCTTTCACCTCTGCTTCCTGCTCATCTCGCCATCAACAAGCACAACGTCAATAAGCTCTTTAGGAGTCAAAAGGTGACAAAAGCTCCAGGCCCAGATTTAGTCTCACCATCTTCTAAAGCACTGCTATCCTCAATTTGCACCAATTTTCACAAAATTCTTACACAAATCAATGGAACTTTGCTCTGTACCCACATTCTTCAAGTCCTCTGCCATCATCCCAGTCCCAAAAAAGATTATCCCCTGACTTGAATAACATTGAAAATCTGTGGGTGTATCTTAAAACATGCTGTTAGAGCAAGACATCCCAAGAACACTACAGAACTAGAAGAGTTCTGCAAGGAACAGTGGATGAAAAGTTCCTCAACTAAGAATAGAAAGACTCCAATCTGGCAACAAAAAATGTTTTCAAGCTGTGATATTTGCAAAGACTTAGAAGGGTAAATTAATCAAATGTAACTGAACTAAATTTACATTTACATTTTTAAAAAACACTTTGCTGCATAGGTTGTGTTTACCTCTTTTCGCTTCAGCAACCAACAAAACATGTTATTTGGCCAGAGGTGCCAAACTTTTGCATTCAATTATATGTAACTGTTTTGTTTTTTGCCTCTTTCCCACTTAAATGTGGTCAGGCTGTACCAGATGAGGTGGTATAAAAGATTAGGCTTACTGCCTGTCTGCAAACACTGAAAAAGGACCAGGCCAAAATGCATCTGTTTTGTTTGCTCATCACTGGCTATTAGTTTCACTGACTTTATTTGTTTCACCATTATGTACATTATGTACAAGTGAGGGAACCCTTTGGAATTACCTGGATTTCTGCTCTGATTATTAACAAAATGTGGTCTGATCATTATCTAAGCCACAGTTATAGACAAACACAGCCTAACTAAACTTAGTTAAGGTACAAGTAAAACAGTTGTACTTTTTTTAGTTCTTTTATTGAGCACATTTAGTAAACAACCACAGTGCAGGCTAGAGACGTTGGGTGATGCAACAAGACAAATACCCAAAGCACACAAGTAAATCAACTGGTTGAAAAAACCTAGTTGTTCTTGAATGGCCAAGTCAGAGTCCTGACCTTAACCCAGGATGCTGTGGTACGACCTGAAGAGGGCAAGACATTAAAAAAAATACTGATGAACTGAAACACATTTCCTTGTCATATCGAGGACATCTTATTTGCAGCTATAACATGAAATATTTGGTGGAGGTGATTTGCTGCTGAAGGGGGATCTACAGGTTACTGAATTCAAGGGTTCAATTACTTTTTGTAGCCTGCACTGTGGATATTTTCTCAGTGTGCTCAATAAAAGAAATGAAAAGTACAACTGTTTGTGTTTTACTATTTTAGTTAGGTTGTGTTTGTCAATAATTGTGACTGAGATAATGACCAACCCACATTTTATTAGTAAACAATGCAGAAATCCAGGAATTTCCAAAAGGTTCCTTTTTTAGCAACTGTAGGATTCAGTGTAAAGATCACAGATGCATTATTTTGTATTGAGTTAATCCAGTCCTCACGTGATTTAATGATGCCATAAAATATTTTACCTCCCCATGTACACAACAAATCTAGCAACAGCTAGACTGAATTTATTAAGTCTTGTCTACTATTATTTTTGGGTGTCAAATATCAGTTGCTTCACAAATTCCCAAACAGCCTGCACCCCAACAGTTTGACTGTCAAGAAGATATAAAATTTTAAAACTTAAGTTAAGGCACAAATGTTAAAAAGGTTATCTGCTAATCCTGATCTAATTTCAAAAAGAACAGCAGACAGTATAACCAGTAACACCAGATATCTTTTACGCCGTGAACATTCTTGCAATTCTAAAAACTGCAAAAATTCTACCTCCAGCAAGCTAAACAAACAAGGGGAAAGATCCCTTTCATCATGCACTGTGTGACTGCGACTGCTGTATTGTTGAACTTCATCCCTGGTTTAATTCAGGGGCAAACTGACCCAATTCTGGAGCTATGCTAAATTCAGCTAAATACTATAGAAGAGAAAGTGTGCCCACAGAAGCGAAAATGCAGGAGAGTGTGCGAAAACCAAACTTCACAGTTGGCACGATGCACTCAGGCAGATAACATTATCCCAGCGTCCACCAAACCCAGATTTGTCCATCAGACTGCCAAAGTGGCATCCTATAGCAGTGCCACAATGAAAGTCACTGACCTCTTCAGTAGACCCATTCAATGGACAATGTTTGTCTATGGAAGTTACATGGCTGAATGCTCAATAGTATGCATCAACTAGCAAATGGTGTAGCTGAAATAGCCTAACCTACAAATTACATGAAACATCCAAATACTTCTGGCACAAATGGTAGTGAACAATAAAATTGCAAATCATCACTCGATTTTAGAATCACATTCCTAATA